TAACAGGTTCACCAGCTTCGTGTCTAGAAGTTTTCCCATGAGTTTTGCTCTCTCTAGTGATCTCTTTTTAGGTCGCATATTTTTTCTGTATTATTGGACATATGTCGTCAAAAGTCAAAGCTTCCAGTTTCACTGGATGAGCCATTGTTGAAATTTTCATTATAGCTTCACATCCTACTGTGGCCAAAAATGGACTAGTAACTTTCTTTAGTTTCTTAGTTCTAGTTCTTGCCGTAAAACCTCTAAGCCGTGTCTCCACAAAGTCAGGGTTTTCAAGGATAACGTATTTTCTATCGGCAACGCCATTGTTATGAAGTGTAATTACCTTCATATTTGATCAGTCCAACGCCGCTCGTTTATCTTGCATACCCCGAGAGTTGTGTATTTTTCAGCTTCCGAAGGTCACTTCAAAGTGTGTTTAACGGCAATACTTCAGAAAAAAATTCTCAAGCTCCTTCGGCACATCCCTATTTTGAGGATGCCTCAGGCACCGGGCAATACACCCAGCATCCTCCCGAAAGAGGAGATATTGCCTGGGGTGGGGATGTCTCCCTGGGGCTTGAGCAAATATTATTGGCAGTGGAGCGAACCCTTCTGCCGGTCAGCACACGATAATCGTATACATTGAGTTGTCCTAACTTTACTGCTTGGGCATTTATATAATCTATACTTAACCAATTAAATATATGTAAAGGGGGGTGGAATTGAAAATAAAAATATCTGGTATCTTGTGGCATCCAATGGAATTTTTAAATTACCACAATATATTTCTTTCAAAAATATTCATATTCTTGGAAATAAAAACTAATAATATTAAATATTTCCTCTTCTGTGATACAATCATTTCCTGTGACATTGTCTGCTATATACAAAAATGATATTTTTAATATTTCAGGGATCCCAATTTCAAGGTTTGGTAAGTTATCAAATGACATCCCATATCTTCCAACATTTTGAGCAATTATAGCCTTTGACATTTAATTTAAGATATAGTTGAGTTTTTTTCCATAAAATTTTAAAATGTTATAAAATATGCACCTCCAGAACTTTGTCTTAATTGTTCAATTTTTTTTTTTAAATAGTCTGCAGTAAATTTATGTTTTTTCTTTCATACTACCCACTCTAAAAGGGAAATGAACATGAATGCAATAAATTCATTGCTTTTTAAACATATCTCAAGAACCAAAAAGGTGCTGGCTTAATACAGCCGGAAGGCAAGTAACAAAATTCTGCTTCCCTTTGTCATTCTCCCTTTTACCTTTCCATAGGGAAAAGAACATGAAGGCAATAAATTCACTGCTTTTTCAACATATCTCAAGAAGCAAAAAGTATCTGGCTTAAATAAGCCGGAAGGCAAGCAATAAAAAATCTGCTTTCCTTTATCATTCTCCCTTTCACCTGTTCAAAGGGAAAAGAACATGAAGACAATTAATTCATGGTTTTTTAATCATATCTCAGGGAGAAAACAAGTGCTGGGATAATACGGCCGGGCAGCAAGTAAGAAAAAATCCTGCTTTCCTTTGTCATTCTCCCTTTCATCTGTTCAAAGTGAATAGAACATGAAGGCAATTAATTCACTGCTTTTTCATCATTTCTCACGAAGCAAACAGGAGCTGGTAAATACGGCTGGAAGACAGAAAAATTTTGCTTTCTTAATGTCAATCTCTCTTTCACCTGTTCAAAGGGAAAACAACATGAAGACAATTAATTCACGGTTTTTTAATCATATCTCACGAAGGAAACAGGTGATGTATTAATACGGCCGGAATGGAAGTAAGAAAAAATCTGCTTTGCTTTGTCATTCTCCCTTTCACCTGTTCAAAGGGAAATGAACATGAAGGCAATTAATTCACTGCTTTTTCATCATATCTCACGAAGCAAACAGGTGCTAGCTTAATACGACCGGAAGGTATTTAACAAAAAGTCTGCTTTCCTTTGTCATTCTCACTTTCATCTGTTCAAAGGGAAAAAAACAATTAATTCACCACTTTTTCATCATTTCTCACAAAGTAAACAGGATCTTTCTCTTATTGCACTTCTATATAAACAAAAACGTATATCAGTGTGTTCCTGTGCCACACTGTTTCTACTTAACTCCTAAAGGCCATAGCCCAACACATCATAACATTTTGGAATTCGGCTGACTCCCGGAAGTAGTTCCGGGTCGAATCTGGACCCGCTATCCTGGAATTATGGATACTCAAATTTTCATTACTGCAATTGTTTTCGGCGAGTTTTTTACATGATTTTTGCGACGAATTTTTTTTGTACGTTAATCCCTATAACTTAGAAGTAAATTTAGGAATAATTGAAAATTCAGCGAAATTCACCCATATAATAGAAATAATTGTTTGTACGGAAAGTAAGGACCTACGTACATCAAACTGCCCTTAAATTAAGTGGTGACAGAAGAATTATCGTTGAACTTTTAAAAGGTAAGGTAAATATTAATGCAATACTTAAATGTAGCGAACAATTTTGAGTTCTTCTGTAGTTCATTGTTGCTTATCGCATAGAACAGCAGTATGCCTCGCAAAAAGAAATCTCCTCCAGCAGAGGACCAAAAGATCCAAGGCTGCAGCGAGGAAAAGAATGTTCTGTGCAAATGAAAACCCAGATCAAACTGCAGCCAGGAGAACTTATCATGCTGAGAATATGCAAAGTACTTAGGGACTCTCAAACTCCTGAACAAGCCTAAGGCCCAATCAAGAGACAGCTTAATTGCCGCCCGATACGACAGCTTTTAAGCTATTAAATAATATCCTTGTTTACAATTTATGCATGCATGCATTGTATACATAGATCTTTTGCCCCTGGGTTACTGTAAACTGATGCCACTGACCGGGCTTATGGTGAGGAACATCATTGTTTCGTGCTGCCTGATTAATGTGGTGGAAGAAAAGAAGTATTGGTCTTTGAATTTGGCGCTTATATAGTCCGGGTTGCGTGATCCTTACGGATTCACTGATTAGTCCTTCTTCGGTCATTCAATGTCTTCGTTTTATCCTATAGTTGGTTAGTTATATTTTTTTAATTATTCTAAATTCCAATAATTTGCCCTTTCAGATGATGCAATTAGTATTTTTGTTTGTCCAGCTTGTATTGATTTTTCTAAGGTTAGATATGGTTCTTGTAAAAACATTTTCAGTAAAAAAAACATTTTTTAAAGTCTATCGTAGATGTTTCAAAATTCGTATTGTTTTGGTTTATGTCGTAGTTTAATTACATAATCATCAAATTTTTGTTTTTCTGTATGTTTACACGAGAAAAATTTGTATCTTAATAAGATTAGATTCTTTTTAGGTTCATACATGTTGAACTTGATTAGATTTGTATCTTAATAAGATTAGATTCTTTTTAGGTTCATACATATGTTGAACTTGATTAGATTTGTATCTTAATAAGATTAGATTCTTTTTAGGTTCATACATATGTTGAACTTGCCTATTTACTACTTGTAGCTTAGTTTTGCCTTCATGGAAATCGAATGTCAGTGTAAAAAAGTGTCTCTGCTTTTGGGGCCAATACAGGGGTTAGTAAAATGGAAATGGTGACCCTACTTGCTCGGTAATTTTTTTCGGTTGAGTAAGAACTAGTTTGATTCGTTTTTTCGACTTCTTCCGTGCCGCAGGGAGATTATCTTGATTCAAGTTTAGCGGCTTCGGTGGTAAAAATATAAATATCCTGTCATTTTTTTTTTTTTTAAATCATTACTGTTTTTTATTCAAAGACTTCTGATATGGGGATTGTTAGGTTGGCTAGAATTTTGTTAAAATTTGTATTAGTTAATGAAGAATCTTAGACAAACTCGTGTGCCATTTAAGAAAACCCTTTACTCCCTGAATGTGTGGGTGATAATTCAGTGATCCCGTGACGTCATAGAAAGTGTTGGGATATGAGATGATTATTGTGTTTCAGACAAACTGCATAACAGTATGGATTTTATCATTCAACACATTTTTCTGCATTTTCCATAAACTAATGGTGAAGCTCATAACAAAACGAATATGAAAACTGAAGAGCGAAGACGGAAATAAACAGTAAGTCAATCAAATACCAAATGACAAAAAAAGAAATGGTTTCTGAATCGGAAGAATTACGCATCTTTCCGGTTAATAAATTAATACTTTGAAAATAAACATTTAATATTTTTCAACCAACGGGTCACTTTCCTGCCGACAATAAAAAACATGCTTCGTGATTCCTTTGAAGGGAATATAAGCAAAGTGTCTAGACCAGACAGGCCAGTAAGGAGATAAAAACTGCAACAGTTCACGACGCGCTCAGCTTAAAAGAAATTACCTTACTCATTCGCCCTTCTTCCTCACCAAGCTACGTGACACACTTTCCTCCTCACTTTTTCCCTGTCTCAAATACACGCGAAGAGATCACATTCCATTCCATAATAACAAACAACTACAAACATGGTCTGTACGAAATTTAACAGCCATACACGCTAAGAACCAACTTAGTTGTAAAAAACATGAAAATAAAAATATTTGATATTTTTATATTTAAACATATTTTTCACCATTTTCTTTGTTGTGGATTGATTCAAATCCGCAACAAAACAATCCGTTGTATTCACTGCATTAATATTGTTTTATTATTAATATTTTAATATGAAATGAAATTTTAATATAAAATAAAGAGAAAACATTATGTCACTGCAAGAAATTAGAACTGAAGTGGATTAATTTTAAAAAATGAGGGACAGAGAAAGATAGAGAGAAAGAGAAGAAGAAGAACTAAGCGGTTGTCTGCTTAGGACCCTTTTCCGTCCTTGTGAATGCCGAAATAATCAGTGGATTTTTTTGCCGCAGCATGTCTCTAATATAATCACATTACTTCAAAATTGAATACTTTCATTTGACGTTGAATCAGTCCCCGTACATCTAAATGTTTTACGATAGATATTACTAAGGCGTTCTTGCGTTTTTCACGACCTCAGCAAGTAAAGACAATAAGGCATACAAAGTAGAAACCAGGGAAAGGCAAATTCAAAGAAATCCTAAGGACTTAAAATATAACAACAGTGAAGAGAGATTTGTACCAAATAGGTCAAAGAAACAAGTATCAGAAGGCAGAGAGAGAGAGAGAGAGAGAGAGAGAGAGAGAGAGAGAGAGAGAGATGAACAGTACGTTATTACATCAACGTTAGGTACAAAAATATAAACGACTAGATATTAGATTTGTCGATAAAATAATGAAAAAATCATTTTATTTTTGAAAACGTAACGTTTAATATTAATGAAGTATTAAGAAATTAGTTATCTATATATATTGATCCGTTTTAGTGTTTCATGCGAGATTTGGTAATAAACCGTTCTGTTGATAACATCGTGTTCGGTGAATTCTTCTTGTTAAGTTCTTGCGTAAATGTGCTGCATATCGTCTTAAAAATACATTGATACTTCGCTGCAGGCCCAAAGAACAAAACAGATATTGGCAATTATATATGTTGCAATTGTATAGTGGATTGGAAACTACAAGGCAGATTCCTTTTCGAAAGATTATGAATTAAAATAAATTAATGTTGGATGAAAATAATTTCCAATATGTGACATAACATAATTTACGTTATATCAGATTTTTTATGCAAGTTAGCTTTATTTTCAATAAAATTGGTTTTAATAATTTTCAACGTAATTATGTTATTGTTAATGTTTACAATTTCTTTTAAAGTTGTTCTCTGATCAATCTAACAGCTCAGCTTTTGTCCTACCAATCCTCTGGCCATCTACACATCACGACGTGTGACTGGCATTGGAACTACTTCAAGGACAATTTTTCTTCTGCCAAGGACAGACAATTCCAATATCCCAATCCCAAGTATGTTAATATTGACCCGCAACCAAAAATAATCTATGTCCCTTTTGTTGTCGTTTGTCCTCAAACGCATTCCTTTACCTGTTTGTTAGTCCTGGGTCTGACTAGAAAATACATCTGGCAGCATGACTGGAGTCTTTGAGGAACGTGGAATCAGATCTTAATTGCTGTTGTTTCCAGGTCCACTCTGATTCGGGGTGTGCTAGCACTTGTTAGGGTCCCAGCTATGGGTAAATAGTGAACCTCTAAAAAAGAAAAAAAACTATGAAAGTAAAAAAATACATTTTTATAGTAAAATTACCAGCAATACATTTTAAAATAAAATGACCATCTTATAGTAGAATTACGAACAATAACATTTTATAGCAAAATGGCCAACACTATATTTTATCAGTAGTTGAAAGCATACAATTGCGTTCAGAATATGTTTAGTTGAAGCCATAAAATTGTGTTCAAACTATTTTGCTTTCAGCATTAAATAACCCATCGAAATGTTGATATGCAACTAAACAAAATCAGTCAAGCAACAACTTTATCTAATTGTACTTTATCCTCTTTGATCAAATGGGAGCCACTCGAGTTCGGCACACGTCTATAAAAAAAAGAAACGCTTGAGATTTAAATAAGATCATCTTCTATGTGGCTGTACCAATCATAGTATTACAAGAGACATTTTAGTTAATTGATACACTTTTATTTCCAGAAAAGAAGAATACTAGAGAAACAACAAAAAAGTACCATTTACGGACATGGTATCATAGAGTACTGTTCGTAAATACTTTACTTGATTCAGAAGTGGAAAATTTGATCTGAAAGACCTGTGCGAACCTACTTACGCACAAACACATATACATATAAACACAAAATCACATGTACAATGCCAAACGATCATTGGCTAATAAATCACTAATACATTTTCTACAGGCAATTTACAAATCGCAGTAATGAGACAATTTTGGAATCGCTTTATTTTTTAAGTAGTCAAATTTGTGCACTTTTGGGAGAAGTGGCTCACAGTCTTCCTTGTAGTCTAGTCTGATTCGATGTGCTGCTGGGGAGTACATATAGTCTTGATTGGTTCATTTTCGCGCAGCCAGGGGTCTCCTGTCCTTTGAACTGATGCAGCCTGCTGTAGCAACTGCTGCCGCTCCCCAGTACGATGTTGGTGCCTGAACAAGCATGTTCACAGAGTCCGTAAATTTGCCACAGAGAGTCACTGCCTTTTCCTTGTTCCTTTTCTTTAACTGTTAGAATAGATATGACCTCTTTAGTTTAACATTTGGTTTACCCAGCTTTGGTTGGTGGCCAGAAGAAGGCCGCCCATCTAGATGTCCTGCACCAGCCCTACTTCGTCTGTCTCGGTGGCTGTTAGGGGGTACCAGAATAAGAATCTGGTCTCTTCATGACAGTCATCTGGAAATTCTCTTTTTTGGGGCAAAATGAAAGAGTTTGTAGCACACTTTGTGTAACTAGGAAAAGTACATCGCCGATTGATGCAGGCTTGTTGGATGACATTTTTACCGCCATATTATGGTTTATCAAGACAATACACACAGACACCGCGGTCATCAGCCAGGCAGCCCTCACATTGTTTACAGCGCACTTTGCGACGCCGACGGAGCTTCAGGACATTTCCAAATTTGCGAGGGAAGCCCCTGCTATTAGCGGCACCCCAACTGCTTGACCTACGTCCAACAGATGTCATGACTGCTGGGCTACTCCTGTCACTCCCACAGCCCCCTCCACGAAAGCTTTCCTCTTTAGGTGGATCCTCGTCAGACGTATCTCTAGATCGCCTGCCCTTGCGATTATTACCAGGAGCTTTACTCCCTTTGGAGACATCAATCATACAGCAGTGGCTGCCACGCTACCAGTGTCCATGCTAGCAGTGGCTGGAACTTGTGTTAAAGTGGTTGTCTCTGCCTTCTTGTTACCTTTGGTAAACTTCTTGGTAGTAGTGGTTAAGGATAGTTGGTAGGCCCTTCTAAGTACCGCTCCTACTTGACATATTAAAAAATTTGTTATAATTTCTTTAATCTCTGGTGAGGTGATGTACGAACCTACTTACGCATGAACATACAGTAGCGGCCATAATATAAGGAACGGAAACAACAAAGACATAAATATGTGTATTACTTAAAAAGTAATGCATGATTAGCGATGAAATTGTTACCGAATAAAGATTAGGGTGTAATGCATAAATATTATACAAGGTTACAAAAATTTACATAATAGTTTTTTTAAAATACTTTTTAAGTAATACACATATTTATGTCTTTGTTGTTTCCGTTCCTTATATTATGGCCGCTACTGTATACATACAAACGCAAAATCACATGTACAATGCCAAACGATCATTGGCTAATAAATCACTAATGCATTTTCTACAGGCAATTTACAAATCGCAGTAATGCGACAATTTTGGAATCGCTTTAGACCGAGAACGTTTCGGCATGATTGCAATCATTGTTGACGACGAAATCAAAGCACTGAATAAAAATTATTTAGATCATCACAAAGATACTTTCACATGAGGCATTTGAAAACATTTAGACGCGCAAATCGCTACAGTGTTTTTGTGTCTTACGGTTAACAAAAAAAATGTTTTTAGAGTACTGGAGGAAAAATTTTCTCGCGGATAAAAGAAAAGCCAGTTTGCATCGGTAGAAGGTAATTCTTTCAAATCTTACAGGATTAGAAAGGATATCAGAAAATCTCTGAATCGTAAAATAAAATCAATATTTAATTAGAAAAGCTATGAATTGCTTTTATGAATACAATATATTATGGACCCTATTCTCTTACGAATGAATATTGAACGAATAATTAATTTTTCTTAGAAAGGTTTTCATTTTTTTTAAATTTTAATTAAAATAATTTATAAACTTTTAAATCTTTAAAAATTTACAATTAATTTGTAGGATCAAGTGATATTATTAAATAAAAACTGTATTTACTAATAATAAATGAAAGAACTTGAATTCAACGAACCCAAATTTTGAATATTTTTTGTGTATAAAAAGGCCGATTTTGTAAATATGGATGTCCATATACGACATTATCAGAAAATAAGAGCGGTAACAATAGTAAATAAAAAATTATTGGTTATTTTCTAACATTTCCCCAACAAATATCTTCTTAGTAAAGATATAAAGCCAAAGTACCTAACATTCAGTAGAATAGGTATTAGAATGTTTAAAAATATTAAAACATTATTAAGATTACTGGGTAGTTAATAATTATATATAAAAATCGTTTACTTTGTATTCGCTATGTAATTTTGTTACAATTATTTACATAATATACCCAAACATCAGACTGTCGACAAATGTGTCAACACTCCATAAAAACACCCACCAACGTGTTAAAAAATGCTTTCCTGCGATATTTTAAACTAAAAGTAAGTAATATTTGTTTCAATTAATATTAATTAAACGTTTCAGAAAAGTATATTTTATTTTTGTAAGATTTGTTAATAGAGATAATTACAGTGGTGACAGATTTGTCAATATGAACGATTCCATCGATTTTATTATCAATATTTTGTCTGTAATGTGGAAATTTAATAATTTTTCTTTAATTTTGAACCATCAGTTTAGCATAAGTATATTTAGGAAACGTAGAATTAAAATAATTTAGTAAAACATCGTTTAATGGTTTCACATTCTCCGACACAGTAATTTGTGTAATTGATTTAATATTAATCTTATATATATCTTGTTAAATTCAATTGTAATTATTTTTTATATTTGAAATTTATTGGAAATTGTTAAATAGAGGTTTTTCTTCAAATCATAGCAAACATCGAGGTACTTTTTTTAGATTCTTACCGCCATGCCAGGAATTATTTTTAATCATTTTGCTTCAAAGCAAGGCGATAATGCCACTAAGACGTAGAGGATTACAAAGAGTGAAAGAGAACGATTAGAATTTAGTAAGGGGAATTAAAGAAAAGGACAACGACAGAATAGCATTCAGGAAGACAGAAAATGTCGATTGACGTTTAGATTTTTGAAGATTGTGGGTGGCAGGGAATCAAGAAATCAGAAAGGAATTCTATAGCTGAGAAGTGCGAGAAAATAAATTATTACAATAGAATTGATAATTGCATCTATCTAGTTCAACAGTAAAATAGTGAGACCAAGTTGCCAATCTAGTAGTGCCTTTAAATTCATGCAGTCGAGGCACTAAAGGTGTTTTCAGAACAATTGCCATGAAAATATTTGTAGAAAAGGGAGAGAAAAACCACGTCACGACGGGGAGAAAGTAAATGAAGTCGAGATAGCAGGTCGGGATCAATCACATAACAGACCCTTCTTTGAATTTTGGCTAGAATTTCGAGATATGCGGCAGAAGCATATGGTAGCAGTACTCAATTCACTGACAAATGGTAGATTTATAAATGTGCAAGAAGGATTCTGCTGAGAAGAATTGTCTGGCATGACGTAGTGAACCAACTTTCAGCAAACCTAGCAATTAATTTCTTTTGAATGCTTTCCCTATTGTCCACAACAAGTGGTAACTGCTCCGCTGTAATGTAATTACCCCACCCAAATCAGTTGGATTAGGGAGAGATTTTTTGTTTCACTCAGAAGAACAAGGAAAACAAAATAAGTGATTTCTCTAGTTTTACTATTGGTAGTATTACATATTTTAAGTGAGATATTTTCATTCTTTCAACCATTTCATTTCACAAATGCCTAGTTACAGCACTTGGGTATAGTTATTAGTAATATATCATTTTACTTACAGATACATTCTTTATTAATATATATATATATATATATATATATATATATATATATATATATTGAAATGGACTAAATCCGACAATTATTTTAATATATTTTCTGTTCACACGTTATTTTTATAGATACAAATATTTAAGTAAATGCTCTGTTTATAATAAACAGTTTTAACAACATTTACCGGCCTGAATGTCCGAGAAATTCCATAGAAAATATTATGTGTCCTCCGAAAATAGTAATATGATTTGATAACCAAACGCTTCCTCTGTAGCTAAATGGCATAGCACATCAGGCTATATGACAATTCCATGTAGGATGAAGGTTCGATTTCTGTCGCAAGACACATATATATATAGTTATAGATACCATAATTATCATCATCAAAAATTAATGATGCAAAATAAACGTTAGGAATTAAAACGCTTGCCTATATATTCGAAAATACCTTGATACTTAAATAAAAAAGCCAGTCATTCGTGCCAATTTATAAATAGAATAGTAGTTTCAATGTATAAATAAATTAGTAAATATCAAGGAAAAACGAAAACAAAAATTTAAATATCACTTAAAAAAACAATATTTGTCTAGTTTCAGAGTAGATTAGTAAATTTAAGGATTAATTGACTGGATCTTGCAAAAATAATATTCACTTCTTGCCTAAAATTTCACATTACTACAGACAGAACTAACCTAGAGAACAAAAAAATTATCACCTAGTATGCGGACCATGTAGGTAGCACAACAGGCAAGCTACGCTGAAATGAAAGAGGGTATATTCGACGGACAGCGTAGCACACGTATTCAGTCTCGCTGCGAAATTCTTTTTGCCGACAAAGAGGGCACTTAACATTTCTAGCCAGATGTTTCTTCGTTATTGAGTTATCCTAACCCGGGCGCCTATGCAATACTTAATTCTTAATCAGACCGAGATCGTCCATGATCTACCTGAGACACGATATACTGCCTTCCATGACAACGGCTGGGTGTTATTAAACCGAACATTAGCTCCAGGAAGCTAATCGGCGTCAGCAGGAAGGTAATGGAGAAGGCTTTGATGAACCTCAATATAGGGGCCAAGGTGTTGACCAGTAGATCAAATAACATGTGGGACATCCTGCTGGCAACCGAGGATGCGGCAAAGACATCGGCTGGAAGCATCCTCATCATTATAGAATACATGGGCACGCGCAGACAAGGATTACATTGCATGGGATGAACATGGATATAACTTCTTTGCCAAATATGGACAACTTGTCGATGTCTCATTAGTGATGAGCGGACAATACCACCGATGACTTTGTCCTGACGGTAACAATGAATCGCAAATACTTCTTTGACATCCCCGGCATTTTGACTTTTCGAGGTCGGACATTATTTGTCATCGTTGGGGGACGTCGATCCCACTGCTGGACCTGTGGCATCACGGGCAGCTGTTAAGAACGCCTCATCAGGAGCAGACACAGCAGGCAGAACAGCCTGAGGAAGAGTAGCAATTGTTGCAACTGGATATTTTTATAGAGGCGGCGGAAATGCCTCCTCTTTAAAAAGGAAGAGGGAGGATGAAGCGGATGAGAAGAACACAAAAAAGAAAAAACGTCCCGATGAAGCAGGGCGGAGCGTGTTACGGAACATGGCAAGTAACAATCCGCCCCTGTTTCGCCAGCCAGAAAGGAACAAACAGTCGTAGGTAAGTCAAGGAGTCTCCCGTCATCTCCCTCCAAGGCTCCGCCATCTCTCTCCATCTCCAAACTCCATCCCCACAAAAAGAAGAGCTTGTATAAGGGGGAGAATTTGTCAAATTGACAGGCAGGCTCTCAAAAGGCACCTTTCTCACAGGTGGGCACTATTGAGGCCTTTCAAACTAACCCTCGTGGACGGAGGACCTCAGGAACTTTAGTAAGTCTCCTGAGGTAATAATCTTTATTAGGAACTCTGGCAGCAGGATGAGAGTTTGGGATTTCATCTATGCCGCAAAAGAATCCATTTCATAGTTCAGAATGGATAAAGTAGAGTCTTCCAATTTCCGAAAAATAAAAAATTGCTTCTCCACCCTCTCTATATAGGACACTAAAATTAACATTCCGACGAATGTCAGCGGGAT